TGAAGGAAGCCCGTCTGAAAGGGCTACATACAGTATGGTTCCAGTATGGTTGACATTCTGGAAGAGGCAAAACCACAGACACAGTAAAAAGATCAGGTGCCGGGTGGGGTGCTCACGCCTGTAATTTTAGCACTCTGAGAGGCCAAGGAGGCAGGATAGCTCAAGGTCAAGAGTTCGAAACCAGCCTGACAAGAAAGAGACCCTGTCTCTACTAAAAAAATAGAAAGAAATTAATTGGTCAACTAAAATATATAGAAAAATTAGCCGGGCATGGTGGCGCATGCCTGTAGTCCCAGCTACTCAGGAGGCTGAGGCAGTAGGATCGCTTGAGCCCAGGAGTTTGAGGTTGCTGTGAGCTAGGCTGACGCCACGGCACTCAACTCACTCTAGCCTGGAAAACAAAGCAAGACTCTGTTTCAAAAAAAAAAAAAAAAGAGATCAAGGACTTGGAGGGAGAGAGGTACCAATGAACAGATGGAGCACAGGGGATTTTGAGGCCAGGGAAACTATCATTCTCCATGATACTGTACCAGCGGACACAGGTCCTTACACAATTGCCGCAAACCACAGACTGCACAAGAGTGAACCTCAATGTAAACTATGAATTTTATTTAATAACATATTAATTAACAAAATTAACATAATTTTAATTAATAACATGTCAGCATTGGCACATCTATTGTAACAAACTTGCCACATCAATGCAAGCTGTTAATAATGGAAAATTGGGGGAGGTAAGGAGACACATGGGAACTCTCTGTACTTTTCACTAAATTTTTTCTGTAAAGCTAAAACTACTCCAAAAACACAAAAAAATAAAAGTGCTACCAAATGCAATGAAAAACATTTTTCGTCTTTAAATTTTCTTCTCTACAGAGAAAAACAATACCACCTCCATCTTCGTCAATGGGAAAGAATCTTGCCGTAGCACTAATATTACGTTTGTGTAAGGTGTCATACCCCTCAGCAGGCTTTTGTGTCAAGTCACCATAGGATCCCACCATAGGATTCCTCCTCTAGCTCTGTTTGCTAGAGGAGGAATGCATGTACCGTCCATGCCTTTATTCCCCCCGCCCCTGGGGACACAGCTTAGTGCGGAAGACTGAAAGGTCAACAAATACTGGCCCCCGATTCTTTTTCTTCGGTGCAGGTATCACAACTGGAATCTGTGTATTTATTTCTCTGTTTATTTGTTAATCTTGGGAAGGTCCTCAGGGAGAAGGGTCACCTCTGTGTTGCTGGCTCCGAATAGTCAGTGCGTGGTGCACGGTGCACGGGAAGAATCCAGAATGAGTCAGACAGTGGAGCTAATAAATGCTGGGTAGCTACAAAGAACAGCGGGAGCAAAGAGAAGATGCAGCAGAGATCTCGCTCTGCGGTAATCCCAGGGGGCTTCGAAGAGGAGGAGGGTCTGGTGGTGGGCTTGAAGGAAACAGGCAGGCAGGCAGAAGGCAGGCACTCCAGGAAAAGGACTGTCCTCCCAGGAGTGCCAGAAAGGAAAAGGCTTCAGAGGCCGTCTCTCTTCTCCAAATTTTAGAGCTGGAAACTAACTCAGAGGACTGTGCTCGTTAGACAGGAAGGAAACTGGTCTGGGCAGGTCAGTCACTGCCCTGGAGGTCACAGCTCCTGGGCACCAACTTTGCGCAGGGCTGGGAGACAGGGACAGACAGACAGACAGACAGACACACACACACACACACACACACACACACATGCACACACCAGCCTGGCCCCAGAGCTGTGGGAACAACAAAGCCCACCTGCTACCCAAGCTTTCACTGAAGTGAGGCTAAGGAGAGAGGAAACGAACACAAACCCCTCCTTCCCCGCTACATACTCATCCCCGGACATCCAGGGACCAGGGGTGTGGCCAGAAATCGCCGACCCAGACTGAAAATGTCTCTAAGGTCAAATTTCCACAATTCTATCCCACTATATATTAATTAAAACAATACTTCTTGCCGGGCGTGGTGGCTCACGCCTGTAATCCTAGCACTCTGGGAGGCCGAGGTGGGAGGATTGCTCGAGGTCAGGAGTTCAAAACCAGCCTGAGCAAGAGCGAGACCCCGTCTCTACTATAAATAGAAAGAAATTAATTGGCCAACTAATAATATATATAGAAAAAATTAGCCGGGCATGGTGGCACATGCCTGTAGTCCCAGCTACTCGGGAGGCTGAGGCAGGAGGATCACTTGAGCCCAGGAGATTGAGGTTGCTGTGAGCTAGGCTGACGCCACGGCACTCACTCTAGCCTGGGCAACAAAGCGAGACTCTGTCTCAAAAAAAAAAAAAAAACCAATACTTCTTCCTCACCCCTAGTGATACTCTCCCAAAAATGTCTTCTAGAAAAATTGATGTTCAGGATTGTACAAACTCTAGTTTCCGGTGATCACAGTAGCAGTAGCCGGTACTTACATAACCCCTTACCTACAGCGTAACTTGTGCAGCCCCTGCCACGATGCCGTAGGATGTTGCCGGCGCCCCAGCACAGCGCAGGGGCGGCCCCACCCCGCCCACAGAAACACGAGGCTGATTTAGTTGTGCCTCTTAAACATTTTGTCTGCAGTCTCAATGCTACAGAGAACACAGGGTGTGAGCCTGGAATCAGACTCCGCAGCTAACCACCTGTATGATTTGGGCCTTGTGAAATATCCCCACACCCTGTTTCCTCCTCTGTGTTACTGCAGCAGAAATAATGAATGATGCCTTCCTCAACAGCTTTTGTCCAGAGCGAACTGTGATAACAGCGTGAAAATTCCAGACACAGTACATGGCACATAGTAGGTCCTCAAAGAGGGGGAAAACAACAACAACAACAACAAAACAAAATCTGTGTTTTAAACCAAGCTGGGGTCTCTGAACTCCTGGAGAACTTCTCCACACTAGAAGGGAGAAATGGGAAAGTTCCAGAAGAAAAAGTGGCCCAGAGGACGGCAGGCTCTGCTGATGCAGGAAGCCTGGGCCTGGGCGCTCAGCCAAAAGGCCGCCTGGGCCAAACCATAGGGCAGGAAACCGCCCGCTTCCTCCTCCTGCGAGAACTCAGAGAGGAGCTTCCTCAGCTGACCCCACCCGCTTCCCAGAGAACGCTCCAGAACATTCCATGCTAGGCCAGGAGACACCAAGAGCAGACCACTGGGCAGCCCCCCTCTCTCCTCCCAGTACAGACAGGAAAAGTAGGCCCCTCCCTTTTTGGGCCTCCATGCACAACCTCTGACCTGCACCCCTGCCCGGCACCCACTGCCTCCCCACAAAGAGACCAAGGTGTGGCTCGCCTACCTCATGCCTGCCCCCCTCCAACTTCTCTAAGCTGCCCACTGAAGCCAGCAGGAGACGGCCTGGGTAGTGGGGTTGGTCGTCCCTGGCTACAGCTCTAGTTTGGCCTCTTATATTTCTCTCTACTGATGCCCCTATCTGATCATCTGCCTCCAGGCCTGGTACCCATCACAAATAAATGGGACTCTATAAGGACAGTCAACGACCACTCCCTTTCTCAAGCACCTTCAATGGCTCCCACTGCCTCCTAAATTCAGTCCACAGTCCACACCTGTGGACTAATGGTCCTCCACAATATATATATTCAATAGTTCAAACCCACCTTCCATTTCCCACAGGACTCATTGTTGCTACCACATGGATTACACCAAGATTCATTTCTGGCCCAGTAAGTCCAGAGTCAACGTCCTCTCCCCACCTAGCTGGGTCCTATTCCTCACCCGCCCCACCTGACTCTTGCATGAGCCCTCTCCTTTTCTCATCTCTAACCTCCTCCAGCACACTCTTCCCAAACCCTCGGGCACTCACATGCCACCTGCCATCCCCACACGGCTCCCGTACTATTCCTTTTTTTTGAGACAGAGTCTCACTTTGTTGCCCAGGCTAGAGTGAGTGCCATGGCGTCAGCCTAGCTCACAGCAACCTCAATCTCCTGGGCTCAAGTGATCCTCCTGCCTCAGCCTCCCGAGTAGCTGGGACTACAGGCATGCGCCACCATGCCCGGCTAATTTTTTCTCTATATATTTTTAGTTGCTCGATTAATTTCTTTCTATTTTTTTAGTAGAGACGGAATCTCACTCAGGCTGGTTTTGAACTCCTGACCTCGAGCAATCTGCCTGCCTCGGCCTCCCAGAGTGCTAGGATTACAGGTGTGAGCCACCAAGCCCAGCCCTGTACTATTCTTTACCTAATATTTTCCTTTGAATCGAGTCACTCTTTTACTTAAAGTAATTTTCAAAGGAACCTGTGTGTCTCCACTGTAAATAGAAAACCATACCATTTACCATAAATAAAGTACAACTGAAAAACCAAAACGAAGTTATTTTCTAATACACATGAAAATAGACAATCATTAAAATATTTAAATGTTCATCTGTACGCCACATAAAATCCCCTCACACTCTAAGAGACACACTGCCTTGGCACTGTAGTTTTTGCCTCCTTTGTGGCCCTTGGGCTCTTCTGGTCCCATCTCACAGTTATCTGGGGTCTTGTCCTGGCTGACCCCAAATGTGAGTACCCCAGATCCTGCAGTCCCCGTTCCAGTCCTACAAACAGCATGACATGCAATAAAAGTATTTATCACGCAGAATGTTCCAATTGGCTCAGATATATGGCCCCATTCTCTTCCTGGCCCCAAGGCCCATCTGCTGCTCAAAGCACAGATTTTCTACCAAAACACACGACCCCTCTGCCCGGCACCCCCAAATCCATCTCTGTCCACTGGGCCGTTTCAAAGGATGGTGCCGGAGGAGCGTAGCAACCGTCTGAGGCGGCACCAGGAGGCCCTTGGCCCTTCTCCAATCCCTACTGCCTCTTCCTCAAAACAGCAGGACCTGGGGCAGCCCGGAAAAGCAAGTTTCCAGTCAACGATTAACCAAACCCTCTCCCAGTACAGACACAAACCCTTTCCCAGAAGCTAGCAAAGTTCTGGAAAGATGCCTGCCTGACCTGCGCCCCTGGCACCTTCCTGTGTCTTTGGAGCTGCAAGACCCAGAAACACCTACCAGGAACCAAGGGGCTTCGACCTGGGCCAGGCCCTGCTGGAGCCCCACACGGGAGAAGGAGGTCACTCTCCCTCCCACCGGTGACCTGAGGTGCTCCCGATGACATACATCTGAATCACTCAGACTTAAGTCAATAAGTGGCAGCCACAGGGAAGGCCCAGCTGGAGACAAACCAAGGCCTGGATTCTCCTCTGTGGACGGAAGCCTGGCCAAGGCCACCCTGCGTCCGGTCTGCTTGTGACCAAGGCCCCTGGAGACACAATCTTCTAAGACTGAACAGGGAGGGGCAGGGCGTCTCCTATCAGAGGGAGGCCGTCTTGGGGAATGTTTGCATTCTTTTTGGTGTTATTTGTTTAGTTTGGCCACTTTTATACATTTTTTAGTTAGAAAGAGCACATTTTTTCTGGAAAGGTATGCAAAATATTCATTAGGGGCAGTGGTGACGAACAGGATGTCAGCATCTCGTAACTTCCTGAAGCACTAGCCACGGGTGTGGCTCCTCAGGAAGAAGGTAAACCGAGGCACAAATAACTCGAGCAATGCTGTAACCATAACAGCCTTCAAAAGTGCCTCAAGGAGGACAAAGGTAATGAAATGAGTCTTGCATAGCCAGGGAGCACTCACATCCTGACATCCGCCTATGGACAGAAGGAAGGTGACAAAGGTCTCCTTGTTGACCTTTTCATAGTGCAAACAAGCTAGTGACAGAAAAAAAAAATGTTTTGGGGATTTAAAAAATATAAATAAATAAATCCCACCATAATTAGCAACCTACCCCCAAAGAAATGGTGTCCGAGAGATAGACGGATATAATCACTCGGAGGTTCTCAAACCGGGTTCCAAGGAGCCCCGGGGATGTCAGGTGCCTCTTCAAGACTGCAGAGGTAGAAGTGGGAGGCTGGGGGAAAAGCGGGGGTATGGTGCAGCGATGGGTTGGTATGTGCTGCTGGTCCGATCAAAGGGGAGGATGAGATGAAGTCATCTCTGAGTTTGCAGGAAGCAGGGCCACACACCCAGGTGTGCTTAGGAACCAGCTGGTCCCTTGTCCTGCACGTGGGCTCTGCATTCAATAGCAGTGCGGGAGGACAGCCTCCTAGGTGAGGGTCCAGCCTGGCCACTTTGCCCTCTTCCTGGCAGGACTACAGGCCGGACAGACCAAGTTCAGAAACTGCACGTGACACCAAATGGAGCCGAGCCTTGAGCCAAGTCAAGCAACCAGAAAGAGGGACGTGAACCCCAGCAGGGACGGGGCCCCGATGTAGACATCAGAGCTTGCTGCATGGAAAAGCCAGCTCTAGGATGGCCCAGACGCGAAGGTGTAAAGAGGCCTGAGTGCTTACACCATGCACAACTAAGAACTGTGGGGACACTACCACTCTGCCTCCGGAGTCCAGACAGCTATGCACTCACAGACGGGGGTGGAAATCCCACTGCCTTTAGCAAAGCAAAGGCCAGCAGCCCCTGCTGGCCTTATGTCTTGGGCATACATCTTGTCTACCCAGCATTCCTTTCTTTGGGAAGGATTCTTCCTTCTGGCCAAAATAACCACGCCCAGTCCTTGGGACAAGAGAAACCAGCCCCTTCTTCCTCTTCCTCATGGGTGAATGTGACCAGGGCTGACCAATTAGAATATCCCCAGCCCCTGAGTGACTGGCTCAGGGCAGGGCATGGGACCCAGACCCAGACATACACAGTCCTCCCTGGGCTCTTGCCACAGTTACTGGGAAATATACCCATCATCTGTGACAACAAGCTGTGCGAGCAATATTGGCTTGTGACAGCCAGTGGCCGGCCTGCTCCACTTAGAAACACCCGGTTTGCGGATGCAGCTCAGAGAGAGAGTCAATAATCCCAACGGTATGGTCAATGGCTAAACCCAGCCGCGCCTGAACCACTGTTCTGACCCCCAAATTGTCAGGCCCACAGATTCCCCTATCTGCTTAATCGAGTTTGAATTGTGTCCTTGTCATCTGCTATCAAGAGCCCCGAGTAAACCACCTACCCAGGACTGGGAAAGAGAGAATGCACCACACATGCTAAATCCGGTGGGCCTGATGTCTTAACAGACACAGCCTAAGCCCTGGCAGTGCGCCTTCTGCCCCTGTTCCTGGCCGCCCCTTTGGAGGCCTGTGCCAGCCCCAGTCTGGCCCAGAGACTTCCTTCAAAGCCCCCAGTGTTTATTCCTAGGCCGACGTCGGTTCCTTTGCAGTAGCCGCATGGCCCAAAGGCAGCCCTCTGCTGCAGGCATCTTCCGTGGCCTCCGTTCGGTGTGACAGCCTATGCTGTCCGTCACCACGTGGGACCTGCCCCCAAGGTGTTCACATACTTGTTCCCAGGTCCTCCCAGACCCTGGCCGGTCTCCCAGGTCCCACATTCAGGCTCCGTCGTCCGGCTCTGATCCCCTCGTGTTTGCGGGTCTCCTGGATGAGTTAGTGCAACCAGAAAGAACGTGGAAGGAAGCGTCTCGTGCTGACTCGAGAACCTTCGGCTCTCACCCCAGCGGAGGGTGTGCACCTGTTAGCATCCGTCAATCCCGCATCAGCCTGTGATCCAGGAGCCTCGAGCAACAAAGCCCAGAGCAACAAGGCCCCGTCCCTGTGACATCGCCTCACTCTCTGGTCACAGCTCGCCACATGGGTCCGAATGCAAAAGCAGGGACCAAACTGCTGAATAAATCCACACGTTAAGATTTGCAAGGAGGAGGCGAAAAGAGATAAACCGAACGGCACATACATGAAATAGAGTAATTTGGTAATTAAATAGGAAATAAAAAGTCCCTAGCTAAGTGGCAGAAAACACCTTATAAAGCTCAAGAGGAAGGAAATGAGGGAAATAAATCTATAACTGCAAAATAAAAGCATGAAAACAAGCTACACTCAAGATAAAATGTTACAGATGTGATAAACACATATTTTATTTTAACAGAAACATGCGACAACGGTGCGCCGTGAACTGGCTGTGCAAAGCCTCGCTGGAGGGTGGTCCCCAAGGGCCGACAGGCACGGGACAGGCAGGATATAAACCAAGTCGGGGAGCAAAGGCTAAGCATTCTCTCTAGACCTAGCTGGTTCCGCCAGCTCTTCTCTATGCTGCCCCTGCAGGCCTGAAGCCCCTCTCGCCCCCTCCCTGCTCTACTCAACTCTGTCTCTCCCTCTAGCTCACAATGGGCCTCTGGGCAGCTGGCTGGGCCCTGCCTTTCCTGGCCTAGCTGCTCCTCCCGGCCACTGCCCTCAGAGCACTGCAAATGAACAAGCTCTTCTCCCCCCTAGGCCCACTCTGCCTTTGCTCCTGCGACCCCCAGAGCCCCAGATGCCCCTCCCTTCCACCCCATCCTGGAGGACGCAGCAAATGGTCCTACACCAGGAAGCCTTCCTAGATCACCTCTTCCTTCTGGAAAGAGCCTGTCCCTCCCCAAAGTCGCTTTCCTTCAGCACTGAGCATTTGCTGCCTTATGTCGTGTTTGTTTATGTCTTTACCTTCTACTGGGCAAAGTCTACATCTGCTTCATCTTTTATTCTTTCACTCAGTCATTCCAAAAATGTTAACTGAGCACCTACTATGCGCCAGGCCCCATGACAGGACTGAAGATACAACAATGGACAAGACATTGTTGCCATTTTGGAAAAAGAAACACTGAACGAACATAAATAAATGTGTCAAGACAAGCTGTGATAAAGGCTATGACAGAAAGAGTCTGGCGTGGTGGCGTGCATCTGTAGTCCCAGCTACACAGGAGGCTGAGGCAGGAGGATTGCTTGAGCCCAGGAATTCGAGGCTGCAGTGAGCTATGATCATGCCACTGCACTCCAGCCTGGGTGACAGAGCAAGACCCTGTCTCTAAAAAAAAAGAGAGAAAGGTTTGGGGTGATATAATATAGGAACATCTATACAGATGGAAGAGTCAAGGAAGGCGTCTCTGAGGAGTTCTACAGCCAACACACCTCCAACAGACGACAGGATGTGTCCGCCTGTGTCATCCTTGCAGAGGGGCTTGCCAGGACTTAAGGTGGCTCTCCACTCAGGATCCCCTCATGACCTCCCTGATACTGCCATCATGCATCTCTGCCCACCCCCCGCCGCAAGAACAAGCGGGTTTTGTCTCCTAGGCAGACTCCAAACCCCTGGTAACGGCTGCCTGGAACGCCACGCTTAGAAGGCCTATCATGCTGCCTCCGGGCTTAGTGGGAAAGCGCTGTGATTGATTAGTGATGTCTGCCACTAGAGCAGGAGAGGAGAGCAGTGGCACCTGTGCCATGCATTTTCCTTGTCACTCAGGGTCCCACAAGTCACCACCCAGGCAAGAAATTTCCTTCAGATCTAATTGCCGGGAGAGCATTCAGCATCTGGGATCCTTTTCCTTATGGGCCACATGAACCATTTCACTAATATTTTTTCCCCTGCCTTGACTGCTCATGAGCTCAGAGCTAAATGTGTGCTTCAAATATAGTAAACTGTGTATAGCTCCAGGGCCTGAATATGGAGTCCAACTCTACCCCTGGTTTCCACCTTCTAGTTAATCTATATTTTTCCTGGTCTTATTTTTATGAGCTTCTGTTTAATTACATGTACACACACATACACACATGCGCATATACATATATAATATATACATATAGTTCTGATATATAACACCTACTTTATCTTTTTATTATAAATTTACTATATTTTTATTAAATTTCTTATATAAAAGATATATGGAAAGACATATATTCTTATAGGTATCCTCAATTCCTTTATGGAACAAGGAATAAACGGAGAGACGGATAGATGACAGACAGGAAGAACGAGGAGGAATAAGACACAGTCTTTGCCTGAAAGAATTCAGCGTGCAGTTGCTCTCTGTCATGAACAGAGTGTGGAACCAGACATCAGAAGTCAGGCTTTCAGTCCCAGCTTTTCCAGCTATGTGACCGTGAAGGGGAAAAAATTGCACACAGACACCCCCCCCCACGCCCTCCCCCAGCCAACCTGAGGCTTCATCGACTATGAAATGCCTATAATCCAATCTGCCCCGCTTCCTCCACCGGGAGGAAACAGAAATTACGCGGGCAGGTCCCTGACTGCGCTAGTCAGCACCATCTCTGTGCGCGCCACCGGTGTCATTAGTATTGGAGACATCATTCTAGGCAGCTAGCACATGGCCATAAATAATAAGACACCGAGCTGCATGGCCTCCTTATAAATGCTACAGGAATTCAAAGAGAAAGGAGCCGTCAGAACCCACATCTGCATTCAGACTGTCCTTGTCCCCCTCTGATGTCTGGGAGCAGTGTCTGACTGAAGGACTTCAATCCCTTGCTTCTCCCAGCAGGGGAGAACGCCCCAGCCGAGATCAATTCCCTCCTGAGGACTGGAGACAGCTGCCCCAGCACAAAGCAAAAGGACCCCACCTCCCTGCAGTCTCCTGACTACACTGTCCCCCGCAGAAAGGCTGGCACCGCATGCGTCACCCGTGGGCCAGTTGAAAGAGGATGGGCCAAGGCTGGAAACAGTGGGGCGGCCACGAGGACAGCTGCCCCTGCATGTGGCCCCCCACCAGACTTCACAGACATTTCCCGTCCCCTCCCGCCCCCACCCCGGCCCACTAATTCCACAGTCACCCGGGCTTCCAGGCACCTGAATCAGCGCCACTGACATTCAAGCAGCAGGTGAA